CGGCTTGTTCTCAAACTTTCGCAAACAGAAGTCGTTTGAGGAGCCACGTTCACCTCTGTATCCTCTGTATCCTATATTTTCCAACCATCACACGTCGCATCGAGATGCTTTCGAATTTAACGTAATTTCCTTGCGCTGGCAACTGGCACGCGGACCATAACGAATGACCGAACCGTACACAACAATTTGTCGCTTTCTTTTTTTTTTGAACTCGTCGATACGACGTCGCTGGATAGAAATTATTAAAAAATAATAAACTTATCATTTGCTTCGCCGGGATTACATTTAAATACACTTAAAATGTTACAATTTCGGACAAACAATTATCGACGTCATTCCACCCTTGCGCTTGCAACTGGTTCGCGGACCATAACGAGTGACCGAGCCGTACATAACAATTTGTCACTTCCTTTTTCTTTTGAACTCGTTGGTACGACGTCACTGGATAGAAATTATTAAAAAATAATAAACTTATCATTTGCTTCGCCTGGGTTACATTTAAATACACTTAAAGTGTTGCAATTTGGAACAAAAAATTCTCGACGTCATTCCAACTCAAGAGATTGACCTCTTGCGCTTGCAACTGATTCGCGGACCATAACGAGTGACCAAACCGTACACGACAATTTGTCACTTCCTTTTTCTTTTGAACTTGTCGGTACGACGTCACTGGATAGAAATTATTAAAAAATAATAAACTTATCATTTGCTTCGCCTGGGTTACATTTAAATACACTTAAAGTGTTACAATTTGGAACAAAAAATTCTCGACGTCATTCCAACTCAAGAGATTGACCTCTTGCGCTTGCAACTGGTTCGCGGACCATAACGAGTGACCGAACCGTACATAACAATTTGTCACTTTCTTTTTCTTTCGAACTTGTCACTGGATAGAAATTATTAAGAAGTAATAAACTTGTCATTTGTTTCACCTGAGTTACATTTAAATATACTTATAACTGAGAAAATGTTGCAATTTGGGACAAAAAAAAAAAACTCTCGACGTGGCCCGTCATTCCAAGATCTCAAGAGGTTGAAGCACGAGGTTTGAAAACTCGGAGGCGGCGGCGGCGAAATTGGTCAGCATTGAAGCATAATCGGTCGATGCGACCGTTCCCTCTGTAAAAAAAGAATAGAAGGGTATTAGTTGCGAGCCGCAGATATCGAGAAGAGGTATCGAAGCGGTAGCTGGACAAACGAGGGGGTAGATGAGAGGCGACCGAACGGAAGTTACAACGAGCTCGTTGCGTTCCCCTTGTCGTCGTTGTCGAACGAAGTGTTTGCGCTAAAATAGCCGGCTATAAAAGAATAAATAAGCAAAGGTAACGACGGCGACGGCGCGGCAGAGCCAAAGAAAGAACCCGAAGAGGAGTTAGAGAAACGCGGCCGTTTGGCGAGCTGCCCTGATACATTGTGACCAGCGTAGGACCGTAGGGAGGGTTTGGGGGGTAGAGATAGGAACTCGTTCCGCGCGTAGGTCGATGCAATTTCCGAGCGTGGGAAGAGCGAAGCGTGTCCAAACCGATTTTGCGGTCCTCCGAGACATTATTGTTCGCATCCGTTACTATTCCGGACGTAACGCGTAGCGAGATTAACGATTCGTCAATTAGCACGGCTAATGTATTTATGGGCCAGCCTCTCTCAATCTCTTCGCTCGTTCCTCCGTTTTGCTTCGCTCTTTTTTTATTTTCTTCTCTCTCCGAGTTCGCTCTGTAATAATAATCCACTTCAGGAACTGCGCGTTGTGTATACACGGCTCGAACATTTTTGCTAGTTCAACGAACTCGTAATGCTATTCTATATGGTATCGGTGTGGCAACGGATCTGTTCGCTAACGAGAAAAGGTACTCTCTAGATTTCAATATCCGAAAAATTTCGAATCCGGCCACCAAGGGAGTGCTACTTTCCTACTTCCATTCGCGAAAGAAAATTGCGCTGCTCGCCAAAATCATCCTGGGCAAACGAAAGAAGGAACGAAAGATTTTCCTTGTCCGATCGCGGACAATTGGCGAATCCCGGATTGATATCGACGGATGTGAATCAAGGGATGGAACGTATGTACGCGGGTCTCTCGGGTCGGAAACCGGTCCACGGATTTCGCCCCGAATAATAATATAATTGGACAATTCATAGAGGGTAAGTGCTCGTACTTGCGCCTATGAAGCGCTCTATTATCACGAACCACCGGCTTTGTAATGCAAAACCAATTTCCCCCGTCATCTCGTACGTCGCGCTACGTCGTGCCGCGTTCTCTAACGACCGGTCTCTCCCCACCCCTCTCTCTCTCTCTCTCTCTCTCTCTCTCTCTCTCTCTCTCTCTCTATCTATATATCTATCTATCTCTCTCTCTTTCTCTCTGCATTAATCATACCGGCACTTTTCGTACAGCCTCGTTCTTTATCACGATTATAAAGTTACGAAAGGCTAAAGAATTATTCGAGTGGAATAGGACGGCAACGAGAACTTGGCGTGCCTGCTGTATATCTACCGTATGTACATATGTACATACATATGTGTTCGTGATACATAAGTGTAGTTTGCGCGAAATACGCGACTCGACACCCTCCTAAAGAACAGGAGCAAAGTTTGGGTGGGATCGGGGAGCGAAATCCTTTGGGGAATTTGATTTGCGTAGCGCGACGGGTACGAAAGCTGGGAAAATGCGATCCGTCGTTTGCGCGAAATCGCTTGGCTTAATATCGAGAGCTAAAGAGTTTCCGCGAAAGGCGTTTCTTCCCGGAAGAAACAGCGGCGGAAGTGGTAGAGGAAAAAGTAGAGAACTGAAAAAGGGGGAAAAAAAACGAAGATGATAAGGGTAGCGAGCGCAAAGAAGCAACGTGGGGCAAAGAAAGGCAAACCTAGTTGCAAAACTAGGTAGAAGGAGGGAAAAAAGAGAGGAAAGAGAGAAATTTGCGAGCTTACTATCACCCTATATTCAGCCCGGGGATCGTTCCCGGGTTTCGTAAATCTTTGAGAATATCCAACGATAGCCAAAGGCTCTTTAAAGTCTCCATTCTTCTTCTTGCCTAACCGGTACAATTTATAGTCTCACGGTCGGCTCTGCGGCCCCGTATGCCCCATAGGAACAGCTATAACGAACGATTCGACAACAGCGTTTACCAACTTTGGTCACTAAATTAACCGAAGATCATCGGGTACTTTAGTATGAAATCCTAGATTCCGCTACGAGTTACACTCACGAAGTTTATCCGTAAATTATTTTTATTTGCAGTCAGGTTAACTGGTTACCTGGAACAGAACGGACAGAAAAAAGCTCCCTTGTTGGAGAACATTATCCAGAGTGTGAACTTCGAAATTAATTAATTCGACATTAAACAAACTTGACTTAGAGAAGGCCAAATAGGAACAAAGACCGAAGCTGTAGATCGATTGTCGTGGAATTAATATCTTCGTGAACGTCGAAATAATCGTGAGAAAGAGAAGGAAGGAAGCATAGAAGCGACGTACAGGACGACTCTGACGAGGAGTATCGATAAAAAAGCTGAGAACGCGTTTTCGCGTAATGTGGTCAAGAGGAGAGACATGGTCGGAGAAATAGCGACGCGAAAGAGAAAATACGTGATCCGGAAGCTAGTGCCGCCTATTGGAAAATCTAGCTATTATACGATGCGTCGTCCTCTAGGAATCGAGTCGACTGACCCCACGGGGGCTAAGACCGTGCTTTATTTTGCCTCCTCGGCGAACCCATCCGAGGGAAGACGGTATTTTTATTTAAATTTCATTCGATCCGTTCTCGAACTTTCCCTCAGCCCGCCTCAGCCGGCATCGTATTATGCGGCTTCTCTCCGGTAAAATCGTCTCGCTCTAATGCCGAGACTTTGCAAATTTATTCTATTTGCCCAAAAGCCGATCGTCGCTCCTATAAATTCGAATATTCGTTCTTGACTCTGCTCGACGTTTGTCGCTCTGCGTTGCCGCGTTACGCCTCCTCTTGCTGCCAACTTGAAAGCCTTAGAGCCGAGTTAGAGGTGAAACCGGAGGAATACAGATAAGAAGAGGAAGAACTACTAAAGATGGTCTTTAGTTCCTGAATAGACAACACCTGCGGCGGTCGCGTACGCGATAAGAGTTGCAGGTATCGGTAGTCGGTGGCAATGTCAGCGCTGAGTTATCGTCTGGTTGTTTGCCGCGAGATCGACCCACGCCTTTGCCAAAGGCGTTCAATGGGCGGTGAGGAAGGAGGTGGAGGATGCGGCTCGAACGAGAGCGGAACGACAGCCAAGACCATCGAGCTTTGAATAGAAGAGGAGTAAGGTCGAAATAGAGTCTCGATCGTTACCATCGCTTCTGTGTGTAAACACGCGACGTGTTGTATGTACACAGTCTTACGTTGTAATAAACATGACATCGTCACGCAAACGAACGATCGTCAAATAGAGATATATGTGCATACATACATATGTGATAGAAAGTATGAAAGATCTAGGATAGGAAATTGTCTCGAAATGGGACAAGAAAGCGAAAGAAGACGACGAAGGAGAGAGGAGAGTAGAACAAGCCGCGAGCATTCGTTGCGACAGTAGTTGCAGTACGAGAAGAGTTGCTAATGATTCGCTAACGAGATACGTGCTCGGTCTGTTTCGTACCGAAACGAAAGAAAAACCGACTACCTTAGAAATAAGAGAGATTTCTTCCTCTTGAGACTTCCTCTCTACCTTTCCCCTCTTTCTCTCTATCGCTCTCTCTCTCTCTATATATATATATATCGCCACTGACAAGCTTCGTCTTTGTCTTTATTTCGTCTCCTGTACCTATCCGATTTCTTTTTTTTTCTGGCCCTCTCTTTATTTCGTCGTACTAGCAGTGGCTGCATGAACCTCCCGTGCTCTACAACATTTAAATGTTACCTCGTTCATTTGTAACGAAGATTAATCTGTATTGCTCGAATGCCGATTAAATGACAACATTAAAAAAATAGACCAGAAGCGCTTGCGCGATTAGAAATGGATTAGATAAGAAAGAAGTAGCTAGAAATTGCAAAATGACGTTACATTATTTCTAGCGAACTCCATTTAATAAAATCTCAATTAATCCATTGACTCTATTTATCCGACTGTATTAATTGTGTTTATATTTCTGCACCTTACGTATCTTTATATCAAGGAATTTTTATCCCGTATAAATAGATAAAGAAATTAAATTAAACGAAATAATTCCGTGCAAATACGAGCAAAGATTAGAACCGTTGGAAACAAACCAATCGTTCACCAAGAGACCACGTATTGCAAACGGAACTTAAATCAACTGACGATCGACTCGCAAAGAGTCTAGTAAAAATATATCAACGAGAAGCGATAACCTTCATATATGTCAGTTTTTCTCGATGCAACGATTTTTCCTTTTACCCCTCCCCGCGCTCACTTCTCGCCGCCGCTTCGTTCCTCGACCTAGGCTAGTTTTATTTCCAACCGCTTTACCTTCGAACTTTTATTTACGTGTCACCGGAAAAGCGTTCTCGTGTCTCAACATCGACGGAGACCCCTCTCTGATTCTGCGTCTGCACGGATATTCCGATGCCTGGAGTTTCCAGAGGCCGCGTTTTCCATTAAAGCCTTGCCAAACCAAGAAATCTTTTGCGAATTTATCGAGTCGATCTTTGTCTGCGAATATGCATTTCCATCTCGATCGATGAGTCACCAAACTTTTTTCCATGTTACACGCTACAGCGTCCTCTCATACACGCCAATTCCATATTCGCCATTCTGTGAAACACGTTCTTTATTCATAAAGTAAATATACAATTTTATTTCGTGTTTTACGCTGTCCACGACTGAAATTAGATTAAATTAAAAATTTCAAAATTAGATAATATCTGTAATATTCTCCAATTTAGTTTTAAACTGTTAGTTACCAATAGCATAATGATGCCAGTTAACAGTTAATAATTAATAAATTGCATATTTTATATATTTTATATTCCATTTCCATCGCGACTTAGATGAAATTGCATATGTCCACGTGTATTGTGATTTATCCAATCTTGATTTAAATATTTACCAGTCTCTATTAATACTAGCTAACTAATTACAATGAAATATCAAAACGCAGAGTATTATACACATAATATTATATGGAGAGCTTATAATCTAATCAATATAAATTATTATTAATTTTTGATTAAGAGCAATTTGTATTATAAAAATTTTTTTTTCTTGAAAATTTTAAACATTATTATATGGTCATTATAATATAATTATTAAAATATGATTAAAACTATTAAAAATATATTGTTATTTAAATTATTAGACGTAACAACTAAACTATTCCATCGATTGATAATTTTAATAAAAAAAAAACATTTGCATGATAAACGCAATTTTTAATTGAAAGGTCACTTTAAGAAGTCACTTATACTAAACTTCTGAGTCTTCCATATATTAATAAATATAAAATTCCTAACCACTGCTCGCGAATTATTCCGCGTTTTTAATTTACTCTCGAGGTATTCCGCTTCGTGATGGAGAAACGGTTAACTATGGCTGGATTATTTGAAGAATGTATCGGTTTAGAAACTGTAAAACACGTTCAACCTTTGAGTTATTTTATCGAGTTACACTCGTGGCAGAAATTATTCGGTGAAGATTCGGTTTCAATCTGAAAGAAAAAGCAAATTGTAGTCTTAGGCAATATAATTTTGTATTTTTTATCTCAACTCTTCAAACTGAAGACTAATAAATACAAATTATACATAATGCTTTTAGTGCTTTGCATCTGACACGATGTAACACGTTATGATAATAAATGGTTGCTGAAAATTGAGAAAAAAGTCATAAAGCAAGGGGTTACAACCACAATGTTTTGAGATTGTTTGAAACATTATGTTGACTTCTTTCGTTTTGGTGTTTTCACTCCTGTGAAACATTAATCTTCACCGATAATCGTTAAAAGCACTATCTATTTTTCGAAAGAACAGAAAGAAATTTTGCACGCGTGAAATGTCAGCGCTACATCCGATGGCCCTTAAATTTTCATTCCTCCGTGGTTAAATGACGAATGTCCCAATGTACGGATCAGCAATCATTCATGTTTTCGCCAATGTCGTTCGATGGGCATTCGTATTCATTTGTCACGACGTGCACCAGGTAAAAGTGATTTTCCGTCGACGTTGCAACTGTGCCGCGTTGCTGTGTCGCCTGTCGTCGTCTCCAATGCTTTAATTTTCAAGCGATTCATCATTCGATAATTAGCAGAATTAATAATCCTTTTCGTTTTTCTATTCGTGTGAGTACACATTGAAACCGGTTTTTACACGACGATATTCAATAGAAACGTACAGTTTGCTCTAACTGCCAAACTACCATTATTATACCTAATGGCGGTTTGTGAGGGTGCTGCAACTTTTGAAATATATGTACACACTGCAAATATAATGGATTTCTATTATTTTTTATACAAAATAAGAGAATTATGTGGGATTGTTCATGATAAAATTAAATATGTATTACAAGTAAATATTACAAGTAAATAAATTAATAAATATACTTATATATCAAGAAAAATTAGAAGTGCTGTAGCTCCGCAGTACTTATACACGAGACGCCACTGATCATATTTAGTAACAGACCAGGATATTTTTGCGAGTTTAGTTTTGATACTAATTCTACATATATTTAAGATCACTATATCAGTAGTCATATCAAATTCGTGATAGTTATACTTCATTATAATGCTACTTTCGTATAACACACATAATGTATCATATTCGCACAAATTTTCTGTAACGGGCACATATGCAACTTGCAATCGCTTACTAAATTTCGACAGGCATCTTCTTCACCGAGTAGTTCAGGTATTGCCATCTATCGGATTTTTCCACTTCACTCTTCGAGAGATATTTAGATGGTAAACGCGACATGTATCTGTTGTCTTTGTCTATTGATTATATTGCCTCCTAAGCACCTCTTTCAATTCCAACTGGAAAGGGTAAATTAGAAAAATCCGATAGATGGCAGTAGATGTCTCCTCCATAGATAAGACCAATCCATTTATTTGCAAAGTGTTAATTTAAAAATTGTCTAGCCACTCGGTTAAAATGCGGCGGAGCTTCATCATGCATAAATCGCATACAAAGTCTAAGGAAGTTCCAGTCGATATTAAACTAATTGGTCGTTTCTTCTAGCAAATATCACAAATGTGCGCTTACAGATTATTAATACGACATGTTTCTTACCAGAGTAGTAGTAGTAGCCGAAGCGGAAGTAGCGAAAGTAGTAAGCCTTTTTCCTCTTCGCAACCAGGTTTTATATCCTTGATTTGCGAAAAGGGGGAAAACTCTTTTCCCGCGTTTTTCCGGTTTTCCTGGGTTTTCTATTTTTTACAAAAAAAAAGTGTGGCTGCATGTCTTATTGGAAACTCACCTTGCAACGGAAAGTAGCGGATGTAGGTGGCGCTATTTTTAATTGCGTGGAGGTAGCAGTCGCTACATTTCATTTGCAAAAAAAAGATATTTAAGAGGATTTATTTATGAACTTCTGTAGCTGCAGCCTCATTTTTAAACCTTAAACTTTCCTCTCGCATTTTATTTGACTTTTGCAGAATGTACAAATAAAAATTTACAAATTTTGTTCAATAGATCGAAAAATTGGCGCCAAATTTATTTAAAACAATTTTGGGCAAATTAAATTTGATATTTTAATTATTGTTCGTGAATATAATTAAAAGGATGAACAAGATTTTAACACATCTCTTTTATTCATATATTAACAATTATTGAATTGAATACTATGTATTTGATTTGAATATTATTATTTGATTTGGATACTATTTCTGTACTGTAATACTGTTCGCCGTAGTAAATCATAAGAAATGTAAAAAATATTCATTCCCTCGAGATTGATATTTCAGAATACACATAAAGCACAAAGTTCCATAAGATGCTAGATCTATTTTATATTTAGTCAATGCTCGTGTTAACCAACGCCTATGAATGACATTAAATTGCATATGTATAATCAACATTGTGACTTTAATATACGTTTCATAATTTCATTTTCTTAAGTGATAATATCTCGAAATGATTTTTAAAAAGGCAATCGTATATGCTAATTTATTACTTTTGTTCACAGTGATAGGTAAGTGTATATGTTGTCGAATAAAAACTACTGTAGCGTGTATAAAATAAGAGCGTTCAATTTAAGGTTATGAAGTATTAAGTTTCAATTAATTTTTCAATTCACTTAAATAAATTTTAGGTACTCAAGCGATTCGTTGTTATCAGTGTAGTAGTGATACTGATCCTAAGGGCGAAGATCTGTGTGGAGCATATGGAAAATTTGATAAAGAGAAAAATATCGCCATCGAATGTAACAGCGAAGAGTCACACATGCCTGGTACATTCTGTGTTAAAATAACACATCAGAGTCCTCGTGGTTTTATTTGTAAGTTTACTTCTTTAAAATTTCTTGTTACTGAACAAGATTTAACTTATGTCAACAAATTTAAATATACGGTACACTTACATTTACGTTTGGTTAATCATTCGATTACTGATCTAGTTCTCATTTATTTATTTTTTTGATTAATTTTTGAAGGGGACGGTAGATGGCGTCAAGTGATTCGTCGATGTTCTTCTGTAGCCAGTACTGGAGTCACAGGTGTTTGTAATTGGGGAGTCTATGAAAATGGTGTATATTGGGAAGAATGCTCTTGTTCTGAAAACAATTGTAATACAGCATCATCCTTATCGTCATTCCCAATAATTATCTTATTGAGTCTTGCTATTTCAATTACCATATTCTCTTTGAGATAAAAGTATGAAATATACTTATTCATTTTGGACAAATCATTACAAGTAAAATTTTCATTGAAGAAAAACTGCCTGTGCCTTAAAACAGTAGATAGAATATGTATTATGATGTAGTATTTTATATGTATTTCTATAAAATACATCATCATTTTATTATACAAAAAAGCAGTTCTAACAACTTAATTTAGCAATATGATCAAAATATTTTTGATTTATTTATTAAGTTTTCTATTACATTTTGAAATATTTTATACAAACTTTATATTTAAAGTTAATGTATTGTTTCCCGTTTTTGTTTTAATCAAATCGTCCAAAATATTTACCTGAGATATTTTAGTTATTAATATGGTAATTGAAAATATGTCCTTAGATTTTTGCGTTTGACAGATAGAATGACTTTAATTGTTACGATGATTAGTTACAAATATAACAATATCATGAAAAACAGTAAATAAGAGATATCCGTCCAGATTTATCTCAGATATTCATCCAGAATTTGTAAAGTATCCGTCCATTTTTTATTATTTCTATAAATTGATCTGATTAAAGATATCAAAGATAAATTAGAACTATATTATAATATAATATTTTATATTAAATGTATTATATAATTTTATAAATAAACAAATAAATTCTTAGTGTTCGTTATTTTTATACCAGATTCAGCCTATAATTTTGTATATAATTTAATATAAACAATGACGACAATATTTAAAGTTATTGTATAATTACATGTAATAAACTGCATTGCTAACAGAAGTCAACCTCATTAGTAATATAATTTATTCTTTCTATTTTTAGTTTTACTGTAATTGTTTTTTTATCTCTGATCATTTCAAATACGATGTGCGTTATTATTATTATATAATTTGTTAGAACGTGATTTTTTGACTAAACTAACTTACTAGAATTAGTATGATTAATACATTTGGTACTACAAGATGCTAGAACTCTTATAAAGATAACTATATGTACATAAGTTCATACCAAAGACTAGAGAGTAGAGATTTGAATGTCCTGTTCAAACATAAAATTAGAGTAAAACTAACATATTAATATAAAATTAAGTATTCTCCGTATGTATTTCCCCGAATATATCGAAGAGAATCCCCGGAATTTGCTACCTTATAAAAAAAAATTGTATTGTTTCCATAAAAATTACAGTCGTTAATTAAATTGCAATAAAAACATGAATCAAAACGAAAATGCAAATTCAAGAAATATACATATGTATATCGAAAGAGAATAAGAATTACTCTTTCTAAGCTGTAATACAACAAAAAAGATGAGTCCAAAAAACGAATTGGATACATAGAACAATATTCATTTAAAATCTGCTAATTATATGAAAAACAACTGAATATGAGATTATATTATTTCGTATTAATTATGGATGTACACTTTAACGTATGAGCTTATTATAATGCTTAATCAAAAAAATTATATTGGTAATTGTGATTATCGTAGGGAATTTTTATATTAAAACTCTTGAACTCTTCATATATGTCTGAATGATTTGCGCATGCTTTACATTTCCCTCTCGCTCCATTGTATACAACTATTCTTTTCTTTATGAATGTTCAAGTTGGAAGTTTGATCAGCGTTTAAAGTGGCATGTGATTTCGGCGAAGGAAAGTTAATACACGAATAAAGGAATTTCCTGTTTAAATTGAAATAAACTGCAATATACAATGAATATTGCGGATGGAGTCGGATACACGCGGTCGGAAATATTTGTGCTTGTGGCAAGGATATCGTTTATCGCGGCTTTTGGATTTTTCAGTATGAAATGGATTATGAATCAACTTGATCCAACGAACAATGCAAAGAAAAAAGCCAGGAAAAAGGTTATACATTAATTGTTTAATGTTTTTAAAAATTAAGTCTTACATAACATATTTTCTCTACATATTAAAAAAATAACCTCATTTCTCATGTATTTTTTTTTAATAAAAAAAAGCTTTACTTGAATGCTCCGCAGGCACAAGAACAGTTACGAAAATTAGCCAAAACTGATAATCTATCATGGTCAGTGGACATGGATCAGTTGACAGATTATGAAATGATGATAGCTAATCACATAGTGGATCCCAAAGATATTAGAGTTTCATGGGAGAATATTGCAGGCCTTGAACATGTTATACAAGAACTCAAAGAAACTGTGATATTGCCTATACAGAGAAAAGAATTATTCGAAGACTCTCAGTTAACTCAAGCACCAAAGGTAGAAAATTATACGTTGTTGGAAAATTTATATATTACAATCTATATTCTGATTTTAGGGTGTACTATTGCACGGTCCACCAGGTTGTGGTAAAACGATGATTGCCAAAGCAACCGCTAAAGAAACTAAAACATGTTTCATTAATTTAGATGTAAGCATTCTAACTGATAAATGGTACGGTGAAAGTCAAAAATTAACTGCAGCTGTCTTTTCATTAGCTGTGAAACTTCAACCATGTATAATCTTTATTGATGAAATAGGTTGGTAGAAAAAAAGATTGTTTACTTTATGCTAATATCAATTAAACGTAAAATATCCTCTATTTTTTTTCCACACAGATTCATTTTTAAGAGCACGTAACTCACAAGATCATGAAGCAACAGCAATGATGAAAGCACAATTCATGTCTCTTTGGGATGGACTAATCACAGATCCTTCTTGCACAGTTATAATAATGGGTGCTACTAATAGACCACAAGACTTAGACAGAGCTATTCTCAGACGTATGCCAGCTACTTTCCACATTGGTTTGCCAGTAAATAAGATTTATATTAAATTATATTGATAAAAAAACGTGTGTTTATACGATTTTTATATATATATATATATATTTCAGGATGAACAACAACGAATACAAGTCTTAAAGTTGATATTAGATCATGAACCAGTAGCTGAAAATATAGATATAGTAAAATTGGCGAAAATTACAGAAGATTTTTCTGGATCAGACCTGCAAGAACTTTGTAGAAATGCTTCTATTTATCGCGTTCGGGATTACTTGCGAACTCATACACAGTTAATATATATCTAATATCATTATTATATGTAAAAATTGATAATAAAATTTATATTTAACTTTTTTTTATTATAGGGATACTAGTAGTACTGACGATGAAGAGTTTCACGATGCAGTACGACCTATAACAATGGAAGATCTACTTACATCATATAAAAAATTAAGAACATCTAAAATACATACGGGTACTCGTAGTGTTCTTAAATCTGATATAGATTAGACATATGTCAATCCATTTTGAAATTTTTTTCTTTAAGAAAGAAAAATTAGGAAAAGAATTTTATAGTAATGTATCTCATTTTCAAATATTCATAAGAAAGAGTATGTAAAAAATTTTGTTGCAAAATTTCATAATTCATAAATTGCTAACACTAAGAGAAACAGTGCGCATGGAAAAAAGGTGTATATATGCATATATATGTATGTAACATATAATTACCTCTGATATAGGACTACTAACTTATATTTCGAGGAGAAGAAATTTGAGTACAATTTAAATTATTTTATTGGATAGAAAATAGATTCCATGAGATTTATAATACAAACAAAATGTAAAGTATCTTGATTAAAAAAGAGAATTGAATCTATCAATATCAACATTTTGCCAATTTAATTTGTTGTGTATTTTTTTTTACTGCATAGTATATTAATATTAGTCATACTGAAAATTTTTATATGTATGCGCAATTTTTTTCGTAAGTAATCTGTGTATGCGTGTGTGGACGTGTGTATTTATGCGTGTATACATGGTAAGAAATTAATCAATATATCTTGATTATTGTTATGTAAATTAATTTGTTGTTAATTGTTACACTTCACTGTATAAATTTTTATATTTATCAGTGTACAGATAATAATTCCTAGTTTATAAATAATGCATCTGATATGGAACAAGATTAGAAATTATAAAGAAACAGTTGTTATGTCCAATATATATGTAATTTAAACTTGATGTTGAGCGTAGAATCAAATTTATATAGACAAATCAATATTGATTGTTTAAAAGTAATTTTATGTGAAAAACAAAACAGAAATAGAGATGCAAATTTTATGTGAAAGGAAAAACAGAAATAGAGATGCAAATTTCTAGTTTCACATGTTAAATATCGTTCGTTACCTCTATACATATATAACAATTAGTTAAAGATTACGATAATTTTTAATCAAGATTTGTTGTATAAAAAAAGAAGAATATAATTGTTGAATATAAAACCATTGATAATATTAATAAAATTCGATTTTACGTTTAAGCAACTTGCATTCATAAATTGCTCTTGAGAGAACAATCTTTGCAGTTTCATCCAAATATTTGATTACGAAAAAAGCACAACTGTAAGCAAACAAAGAAAAAAAGAAAAAGGAAAGAACGCATGCGCAAAGAAAATGATACCGACAGAGCATTTCAGAGAACAGTAGCGAAAGTTTCCGGAATGAAACTTCTAGGATGACAAAGTCTCTGTGAGCCTTAACCCTGTACCTCTCTTCTTTTTTTTGATCGGTAAGGTACGACAATAGAAACCGGTGAAACACCGAGAACAGGCGAGAAAAGAACGGATTTTCTCGAAAGAAAAAAAGGTAAATGCTGTTTTCAACAGTAGCAGTGAAAAGCACGAATAGACGCGACGTAAACGCGTCATTGTGAATGGCGCTTCTAGTGACAAAAGTGGCCGAGAGAGACTTTCCATTTCACATCAGATGTAAACTGTGTTTGAAATGGATGTTGCAAAGTATACTGCTGTCCGTTAATTGAGTCGAGCTTTCTCTTCGTTTTCCTATCTGATCTTCGTTGATGATCTAACGAAGAGATGACGATAAAGAGGAAAGGGAACACGACGACACCAAACGGATCCCGGTACGATCGTCTGTAAAATCCTGCGTAGCATCACAGCGGTTCGTTCGCAGAGTGGACAACCATTCCGCAACAACCGCGATGCACGATCTTATGCGTTAGTGGTGAGTGTCCGTATCGCGTGTGCGTGTCTATCCATGTTGGCAAATTGAGGATGCAACATAGAGATCGTGTTGTTCCTCACGGTCGTATTCATGAATATGTGCATTTATTACGTCTGTATGAGTTCCGTATCCGAAAACCACTGTACTCTCGTGATAGAATGTGGTTCGAGTTCATGTTAATACTTTGACACGATGACACGGTTACGCCACCGAAACGTGATTCTTCTGTGAACGGGGGGACACTTCTCGGCGAGAAGTTTACATACATTTATTTATTGGTGTGGTTCAGCGAGACTTGTCGATCAACGGACCACCCGAGAGATTCCTATCGATGCTAACTCTTGATTCTCTAGAAATTCACCGTAACTGGGAGTGCCGCTAGATCGTAGTTGAACATGCTCCGAAAGGGCTGGAGTGAATTTCACGTTACACGCGAGGAAAGATTACTTTTTCACGTTTCGAATGTAACATGGTACGCCGAACGATTTCATTGAAAGTCTTCTGATGCAAGTTCTGCGAACGATATGTGAACATTAAATTAAGGAGAAGACGGACAATGCATCGGTGAAACTGGCATGAAAATGTACCGCGGTGTTAAGTGGCCTCTGTGATGTATTGCGAACGGTGCTTAACCTAACTTTTCATCGACGCTTCTACACGGCGTTTTCCTCCGAGTAATGTTCTTTCGATAACGAACCTGTAACCAAGTGTTCATAAATCGCGAATGTTTGTCGTTTATCATTTCTCTCTCTCTCTTTCTTTTTTTTTCTCCATGTACCGAGTGTTATTTTTTTCTTGCCGCTTTCATGTACGATTTTGATTTATCGTAAGAAAAAAAGACAAAAGAAAGAAAAAACACGAGACTATGATCGTTACTTTGTAAAACTCTGAAAATGCTTTTTATTGACTGTACTTCTGATTTTGTCGAGGATTGTATGAAGATTAAGTTCACAGTATTTATGCGAGTATGTTTTTAACGGTTTTATATTTACCGTTTATATTCAAGTCGAAATTCAGGTTTATTTTTTAATTCTTTTCTTTTATGTGTTTCTTCATCGTAATTTTTTGTACTACTTGCCAGTGCTTGTATCGTGTACTTCTCGATGTTCGGTCTAAAGATATGAATCAAACGTATGGATGTATATTAGCATGTTCTGCCTATTATAATTGACTGTTTGTATCATTAGAATTTTGTCATTTTTCTCTAGCAATGGTCATGGGCAATCTTATCATTTTATTATCAAGAAGTGGAGACTGAAATTATCGGAGTTCAGGGAAAACATTTAAAATTCAGTCGGCCAAGTATGTCCAACACTATTAGTAATATGAAGATGACCAACCGTATCAAGGGAATGGTGAGCAAACGTCGTAGGCGTTTCACAGAAGATGGTTTTGACCTTGATCTCACATGTATCCTTTTTTCATAATCGTTAGTATAACTTATTGATATTGTATTGATAATTCTGTTAGTATATTCCTTAACCATGGCCGTATTAACAACAGACATAAGAGATAACTTAATAGCAATGGGTTTCCCAGCTGAGAAGTTAGAAGGAGTATATAGGAATCACATAGATGATGTTGTTAAACTGTTGGAATCTAGACATAAAGATCACTATAAGATTTACAATCTGTAAGCATCTTGATGCTTTTTGCATTTTTGTTTCTTTAGTCAATCGAACAATTGAGAAAGAAATTTTAAAACAAACATGTTTTTCAGATGTTCAGAGAGATCTTATGATTTTAAGAAATTTAAACAAAGGGTAGCTACATACGCGTTTGATGATCACAATCCACCAATGTTGGATCAAATGAGACCATTTTGCGAGGATGTGGATGAGTGGCTTTCTCGGCATCAAGAAAATGTAGCTGTAGTTCATTGTAAGGCTGGTAAAGGTCGGACGGGTGTAATGGTGTGTTGTTACCTCCTTCATACTAAACAGTTTTCCACTGCCACAGAAGCCCTTAATTACTATGGAACTAAAAGAACACATGATAGGTAATTGTACTATGTTTTGTTTTTCATGCGTGCAAAACAATTATTTCATCACTCACGTTATTTTATTATTCAGGAAGGGGGTAACAATACCTTCACAAAGGAGGTACGTGGATTATTATGCTACTCTTGTACAAGAAAAATTAAATTATGAACCGGTTACGCTGTTCTTGCGGAAAATACAATTGGATCCAGCGCCTATCTTTCATGGAGGTCAAGGATGTAAGAGTGATAAATTATTAAGAAAAGAATGAAATCCAAAATGTGATTACATAGAGTTTTTTGTGTTTTAGATTTGCATTGTGTAATAACGGAATCTAAAAAGAAGATATTTAGCTCTGAAATAGTAGAAGTACGAAAAGGGATGCACACAATCAGTATTCCTTTAAAACACAGCATAGCGTTGACGGGAGATGTACGAGTGGATTTCTTTAATAGACCAAAAATGAAACGAAAGGTATAAATTCTATATTCGATAAAATTAACAAGATCGGTTCGTCATAAGGTAATTAATCGATTCATTCGTTCTCTACCTAGGAAAAATTGTTTCATTTTTGGTTCAATACATTTTTCGTACGAGACTATTTATCGCCGGAATACGATAACGGAGAGTTACCAGTTGAGCGTTCAACTAGGGCATTGAGTTGCGATGGTACAACTATGGAATTACCAATGGTTATGTCGCACATGAAACCCAGAGCTGGATCGCTAGCTAGCCTCGGACATATGCCACCTACTCTTGTTTTAAGTATAGATAAATGGGGTCTGGATGACGCACACAAGGATAAACATCACAAAGTGTATAGTGCTGATTTTAAGGTAAGTATACGTACACTTTACACACATTTAATATGTATGTATTTATTATATTAATGTAAATTTAAACGAATATTTCATTCCAACTGATCGAACGTTGTAGGTTAGCTTATTTATGCATCGAATGGGCGGTAATATATCGCAAGCTGTACCAGCAGCGACTAATAGAACAGGAGAGGGTATACAAATAGGAATGGGAGGACAAGATACTCCGAGCGAATCGAGTGAAGCGGATAGCAGTGAATGCGACACAACTGGAGATACGACGGGAGATGAAGATGGGGAATCTGGTGAGTCTTCTGCATCTCTGGTGGTGAATCACCATCCTCTTACACACAGCAGTAGCCGTACACACGTTAGTATCCACCAAAGAGCTAGTCTCAGAGAAACTGCAAAGGGTTTACTCTCACATGGGGATAAAAGTAGAAGTAGTCATCGGCAAAACGCCGATAATGTGAAACGTTCTTCAGCTCTAATACGTTCAGCCACGTTAGATACGTAAAGAAAACAAAAATTTGTGTATGTATATATGTATATATACGTACATATGTATATATACATATATTTATCGTATCTTGTACTTAAAGTGAATTCTCTGAACTGGCATTCAAGCTTTACAACTTTATATGAAACCAAATTGTGCTATTAGTTTCCCTTTGTCATGCTAGCATGAAAGATTAGCATTCGATAAGTTCTTAAATGTATCGATTCTTTTTTTCCTGATGTCCTCTTCTACTGAGTAATAATATGCGTTTGTAGAAAAATTTGGGCTGATCTGTTTTGAAGCATAGAAGACAAGAAACATTAAAACATACTTCGGAAGGGAATTTTTTAGGAAATTAATAGAATATCAAAATATTTCGATGCTATTCCTTCGGTAAAACGACATTTACAGAATGAATTTTTAATGTTTTATATTCGAGATTATCGATTCTACCTCTAATTAACATTGATAATATATCTGATAGTCGATATTGAAAAGAGTGCATTGAATGTTCTCAACTAAAGAAGAACAAACAAATTAAGATATTCTATATTTTTGCATAGCAAATATTGTGTGCAAAATATGAAGATATTTCAGTATTTAGGAGAAGTTACGATCTTTTTTTTGAGTAAAAATTATCGGATATTTATTATAAATTATTGAAAAAAAAAAAAAAAGAATCTGCGGCTACTATGTACGCTTCATTTATTTTTCATTAGATTTCTCAAGTATTTCGTTTCGATGATTGTTTATTATAATTGTCCGAAGTAATGAAATTATATGTGTATGTGTGTATATATACATATGTACATATGCACATGCGCGCGCGTACACGCAAGTGAATAAGAGAATTCTTAGTGTTGAAAGAAAAAGAACACCGTCTTTTGCGTTCATGCAATTATGTAATAACGTACTATGTACGAAACTAGTATTTGTTTTGTAATTGTACAACAAAGCCAACTTGTAGAAAATAATTGACTAATGCAATAAATACGGGAATAGGACAAACGCGACAATTTGTAATCGTAACAATTTTACTGTTTGTACTTGTATTCTTCGTGGCATTATGAAAAGATGAAAAAGATGAATGATAAGTGTATTCTGATTGCCTTACACATTGTGATGATCATTAACATTTTGAGAAAAAAACAAAGCTAATTCGTGTAGATTTGAGTGGAGGGTTGTAGTCAAAATTTGTAAGATAACATAATATTTACATGTACAGAAAATTTCATTCTTTAACAGGCTGTGCAATTTTTTAAACTTGTAAACTTCTTGAGCAAACACGATTTTCATATCGATGACAAGATACATTTAATTTCAATTAAGCTATCGTGTTCTATCGTGTAAACTGTCGTGTGTGAATCTTTGTTTGTTACTACGATACAAACGTTATATCGTGTGCACATGTTGACGAAATCAAGTAACGTTACCCTAAGGATATTAATTCTTTTTCTTTTACGTAACTATCATGTATGTAATTTCAGAGAAGTGTTTTATCATTTCTTTTTTTCTCTCTTTCCACTTGTTTGTTATTTTTTAAATAAATTTTGTACTTTGTCGGTGCAAAGTTACAGAGCAAAATTTGCAACAAATTCCGCGTAAAATTCTGTTTTAGAAAAGCGATCTTGAAACTGATATTTTACGCGTGTTGAATTATAATACAACCATTGAAACGTCGTTCGTATCGAATATCGACTCAAAAAAAAAAAAAGAAAAAAAAAATTGTATACTGATGAGTTACAGATTTGCGGCACGTATACGAATAGTATACAAATTAAATATACAATAAGTTTACGAGAACAAGACTTGCGAAAATGGCATGCAAACGATTGCATACATTAAAAAAGAATTTGAAAACAATTTAATACTAATTTTACCAGTTAATTATTTTTCTATTAAATGTATATGTATACGTAGGTTTTATGAATTTTCGAATAGTTACGTAATTTAAATGTACACTGATATGATTACGAAGCGGATACGTATTACTTATGTTAGCAATAAATTATCCGTAAAATAAATTAGTATTGAAAGCTGTTACTCGATACGTACACAAGGTTTCTCTACGAAACTCTTATTCGCTCCGTTTTCATTTATTACTTTTAATTTATTTGCGTTGAAAGCGCGATGATCTTTCGCTATATTTGATCATTCGCGCATTTCGCTTAAACGTAATGGTTAATCTCGAATTTTTCATCTATTTCCTAATTTTCGAGCGTGACAAAATAATTTTTATATACTATATATATATTTCCATTCTTTCTTTGTCTCCTCTTTTCTTCCTTTCTTTGTCTCCTCTTTTCTTTCTTTCTTTGTCTCCTCTTTTCTTTCTTTCTTTGTCTCCTCTTTTCTTTCTTTCTTTCTTTGTTTCTTTCTTTCTTCTTTTCGTAGATTATAAATTACGAAATTACGAAATTTACGTGTTTATGAAATTACGAAATTTAATACTATCAGGATTGATTTTTCTTCCGATTAATTTACACATTTGTGATGAATTAAAAATCCTATGTACGATGTAACTCTATGTAAAAGTTTGTAAGATTCTTCGTATTAAAGTAAAATAGAAAACTTACAAATATTTCGATAAAATTTAATGTGATTATTATTATTATTATTAATATAATTATGTTAGCGAGGAAAGCATATAATGGGGATACACAAAATTTCCACAACTTTTGGTTATGAGTGGTTAATACATATAAGCAGGAAGATATCCTTGAAATGATTAATACATGGTGATTTTAGATTTTTATACATGTCGTTTTGTAAATACGTAGTCAATATTATTATAATCGGACAATTCTCTAACCACACAGGGATTCGAATGGTCTTTGAAAATTTCATCAGTTTGTGGTTCCTCTCTGAATTGTTCTTGTAGTACTTGTAGAATTGGTCTTCTAGTACTTGTACGTGTTTAATAGTTTTCATTATTAACGTTGTATTTATCGTGTCATGCATGAGCATACAAAAAATAGACAGCCTGATGATTTTCATTAGAATACAAATATTTAAAATTCTATATTGTCTTTTGATATATATCTCGGTATATGAAATTATTATTATTGAATATCTTGACATATCCTAATTTTACTCTGATTTTTTTGTATCACTGCACGTTGGTAGTTAATATTCATAGTTATCGAATGTTTGTAATATTTATGAAATTGATACGATATCTCGATTACATATTCTGTAATGGTTATTTTGTGATACTATTATACATACTTATGATCATTAATTATATCTTATTATTGATTATCAATTATTATTATTATTATCATTATCATCTTCATCATCATCATCATCGTTGTTGTTGTTGTTGTTGTTGTTGTTGTTGTTGTTGTTGTTGTTGTTGTTGTTACTACTATTGCTACTACTACTTTTACTTCTATTACTGTGACCTGTCTTCATTATCATCATTAATATTACAACTGCTACTGCTGTTTTATCATTATATCAATATCACCATCAGAGACATTATTATTATCACCACTACTATCATTATTCTATTATCATTACTATTACTACTATCACTACTACTATTACTACCACTACTACACTATTATCATTATTATTATTATTATCAGTAATAATATCACAAATAAAATATTAGCTATTTTTAAATTGTAAACGTATACTTGTATACTTAAATGTACTCCTGTAACAAACAACGTTTTATGGATGATGTTATACATGATGCATTGCAGTTATAAAACAGTGTATAAATTTTAGAACTTTCTACTTACGTCTTCCGATTCTCTGTAATATGCAAACCTCACTTTGAAAACTCTTACTTCAACAAATTTTTGTTTATTTTGTATTTGCTTATTGGTTCCTCGCTCTTTTGTATCTATCTATGTATATTATTTCTCCTTTCTATTGATAAAAACAAAGAGATAATAAAATATGTACATCGTTTGTAACGCTTACCCCCTGTAGTTCCTTATTTACGAGAGACTTGTGAAGCGCTTGGCTCACCGATTTAGCTCAAACGTTGCACTGATCCGAAGCACGATTCTCATGCCAAATTTCTTGACAGAAGAGAGCAATGAAGTAAATGATCTTTGTGAGATTCTTTTCACCTTTCAAATGTTAAATGTTTCGTTGTCAAGAAAGTAATAACATTTTTAGCTACAAACGTATGAGAATGTGCTTCTGCCAGATGTAAGATTCGAGCTTTGTAGATCACTTTGTTATCGCTGTACAAGCATTCACCAGAGCGTGCGTATCGTAAAATAAAACGAAAAATCTTTTAATTTTATTTGCTTCGTAGAGGTTGCAATCTTGCATGCCTGTTCTCTCTTTCATTTACAAAGTTTTAAAAAAACTGGCTCCTCCGTTTTGGAGAATGCTACACACTCTAATGTGATATTTAACGTGACAGTACCACAGCTTTGTTAGTTCCCTCCTTTCTCTCGCATGTGTCGAGTATAACGCTCGTTGTCGCATTGAATAAATTCTTTTAATTAAATTTAATACGGTGTGGGTACGTGTGCTGGGTAATCTGTTCGATCGCTAATCACTAACACGGTTTGCTTTGTCGCGCGCGCGTTCTATCGTCGGTATAATGAACGACGATGAGACGATGAGACGTGAAATGAGCTTTCTTCTTCGAGGGAAAACGAGCGCGCGAATAAGGAAATAGAGTGAAAGTAAGAGATCGCTAAAAGAGAAAGAGAGCGAGTGAGAAATTTGCTTGCGAGTGGGAATAAGGAAAGGAGGAGAGAGAATTCTGTACATATACGTCTAATTTGGTCGTGAGTTCGCATTGTCCTCCACCGCACCGCACCGTATTTAAATTGTAGATTCGTTCTAAAAAAAAAAAATTACTAAAACACACAAACGATATTGACCATTGACTGTCTCTCTGTATGTCTGTTCACCCTTAGTGGACATGGACCAGCGTGTTGGACGGTACCGCCTTCTCTCAGACGGAGGAATGATAGACGTTTTGTGAGTTCATCGCCAGTCATCCCTCTACATCCTTCGACATTGCTGTCGCTCGCATATTAACACGCGGACATTGAGAAATTCCGACTACCGTCTTTACCGAAGATAAATATATTATATACGATCGATTGGAGAATGTTTATGCTCGAACAAAAAAAAAAAAGAGAAAAAGAAAAGAGAACGATCGTGTCTTTTCAACGATCTGTAAAATTGTTGCTAGATGACGTATATTAGTTCCAACAAGCCAAAGAGAACAAGAGTTTATACCACAGAAACAAGAGTTTACAACACAGAAATCTCGAAGATTGTCTCAAAACGTAAAGAAGAAAGAAAAAAAGAAAAAAACGTTCGCTTTCGTTCTTAACTTCTTTGACAGATGCGCGTCTGCACTTTTTGGCCCGCGCGTGTGTTTTGGCCCTCTCGACGCTTTGTTTCATCGTGGAATTTTATTGGAATTTATATACAAACGTCAACCGTAAATACAAACGAATGTTTTGTTTCTTTTTTTTTTTTTTTCAAAAAAAAAAAGGACGTATTTTGTATTCGTTAACAACGAGCTGGAAATTCTCTGAACGAAACTGCGCGATCGAAACGAAAATAGGCGGAAAGGAGAAGAAAATGAAAGAAAGAAAGAAAGAACGTTATTATTATAAAAAGAAAGAACTGCTGCAAAACCGCTGTGTAGAGAGAAGTTCCATGCTCAGCGTATTAAAGATGCATACACCGTAATGCGGCTTGTGTAACGTTTATCTCGTTTTTGTCGGTGAAAACTGCGCATTCTCGCGAATACGAGACAATGGGCTGGGTGTTTCGAATGGAATAGAAGCCGCGTTGGACTTGTAGGCTGAGAAAGAAAGTGTGTTTATATAGATTATGAATCCAGATGGAAGAATAATGCTGTAAAAAAACAAAGAAAAAAAAGAAAAAAAAAAAGAAGAGAAAGAAGCAAGATTATTTTCGTAACGTTAATAAATTGTAAGTCAATAAGTACAGCAACAAGGATGGCTAACGACAGGAACAACATCGGCAACGCCAATTCATTCACGAGAACTATGACATCGGTAACCGAGAACCGCCGACGACGACGGACAACGACAACGACGACGATGTTGCTTGCTCTTCGTTCGATAACGACGATGTTTAAACATTTGTATGAAATTTCCTTTCCTCGTTGTAAAGACGATCGAATCGATACACGTTGCATCACCATATCACCATAAACACCCGTAGTAGAGTTACGTTTCTCCGCAACAGTCGGTAACAGTTTAGCAAAATCTTTGTTTCAACCTTTGTGGCAACTCTCCTGAGAAGGGGAATGATAAGGCCGAACGATCTTGCCTGACGAATTGAAAGAGATCGAAAGTAAGGAAAAGAACGTAACAAAAGAAAAAAAAAAAAAAAAGGAAAAACAGACAAGTGATGTAGAATGTATCGTCCGTGAGTCGTCCAAGTATCCACAGTACAGTTATTATGGAGGAAATCTGGCCGTGTAATGTTCCACTTGGACCACGGCGCGCATAAAGATCTTTGCTTTCGTCGAAGGTAAAGGTGTTTATGAGAGGATCTCTGCTGTAGTTGTGCTGTAAAAGAAAGAAAGAAAGAAAAAAAGAAAAAAAGAAAAAAAGAAAAAAAAAAAAGGAAAAAAAAAAGTAGAATTGTATAAACGTTGAATCTATTCGGTTTTTATTCTTCTCGAAAGTAGGCGCCGATATAAACGCTAAATCTCGTTACGACAATATCGTCGAATAGATTCTACACCGACTCGTCGGACGTTTCACGAATGTCGAATGTTTCTTTTGATAGTTGTTCGTTCACGCGGTTTCACGAGGAAACTGTTGAAAATTGAGAAAAAAGAGAGAAAAGAAGGAAAACAAAAAAAAAAAAAAAAAAAAGGGGGAAGAAAGGAAGAAAGAAAAAAGACACAGAGACGTCGGACTTGATGAAAGCTATGCGGCTCTGCTCCGCGGGACACGGTTGCAAGATCCGATCGCTGCGACGTCCGCGATGTTCGCGTTTCGTGAAGTTGGTACACGCCTGCGAGCGTAGCAACGTTCGACGTGGATGAAGACATTTTCTCACGAAAGAAAGAAAGAAAGAAAGAAAGAGATCTGCTGTCGGTGCACGAGCAGCAGTGTCGTTACTTCCGTTAGCACTTGCACAACAGGCGAATCGATTTGCGTTTCCAAAGGATAACGAATATGAGTTTAGAGATACGCAACAAAAGTATCGTTTCTGACGCCGTCCTTTCCTAACTCATAGCTTGTAACGTACGTTGCGATATACGATAGATCGTATGGCACTCGCTGCTGTCAGTTTTTTCTCCCCTTTCCGTTTCGTTTTCGTCACTACAATGCAACCGTGAACGAGCCTCTTCGTTGCATACACACTCGCTCGGAGCGATACGCTGAATACCGCACCAGGCTGGAACCTACGGTGTCGCTGCTACGGGACAACGGAACGAAATGTTCGAGATCGATCGAATCCTGCAGGCGCGGACGAAAGGCGACGAGAAAAAGCAAAACCAATTCCTTTCGACGACATTGGAAAACGTCGTGTTGGAACGTTGAAATTTCGCGGGCTTATATCAACGGCTTTCTCTCTTTTGCTAACTATTTTCACGAGTAGATCGTTCGCATAGACTTCAGCCGCGATATTTAGGCAAAGCTACCTTTGATGAATATACGAACGCCACGTATACCACGCGCATGATTCAGTCCAAGAAAAAAAAAAAAAGAAAAAGAAATAAAATAAAAAACGCGGTCGTTCGTTATCGTTCGCTGGTGCATCCTTTCGTTCGTATCTTGTCGTTCGTTGACATGATGTAAACTATCGTAAGGTTACGGAATTTCAATTGATAGAATTATTTACGGCACGATATATATATATATATATATAAATACGTTGACGCGCGATTTTCTTACGCTACGTCGAAGAAGGGGACGCGCGCCCGTTCTTGTCTTTTTTTTTTTTTCGAATTTCGACCTCTGACCCCGCGTCTCGGAAACTCTGCCTTTATTCCTACGTTCGACTTCCTCTTATTTTTGTCATTCGGAATTCGATTTTTTACGATTGACAAAGTGAAAGGTAAAATGGGAAGAAGGAAAAGAAGAAACAGAGAAGAGAAGAGAGAGAGAGAGATTGTGTGTGTGTGTGTGTGTGTGCGTGCGCGCATGTGTGCGTGAAATGATGGAAAATAGCGTGAAAGCGAACGAAATACATATTCGTGTTATCAGGTAGCGAGTTTTGGATTACCTCGAACGAATTAGTAAATTTACCTCGCTCGAACTATTTTAATCGCATTTTGTAGTTCACTGAACTAACGTCGGACTCGCTAGCAATCGTCGCGATACCTCAGTTTTTTATCCTCTAAAAAGAAGGTGAACGAAGAAGGTAAACTTACTAAATACGTTTTTACGTACCAATAATTATGGCATACGTATTGTACCATATTGTTACTTCTTGTAACGTACACGCTTCTCGAACATATTTTTTCTCATACGAAGCTCATGAATATCGTTTTATAAGTGATATCTCTTAAAACTAACTTTTATATGATTCATGCGGAATGTTCAAAATATAAATAAGATGCATTATTTTTTTCTGTGATATTATATACGACTGCAACTCTCCACACACATCGTCCCCTCCAACTTTTACTAGTCGATCGTTTTCGTCGAACAGAAGAAGAGAAAGATGATCGAGCAAGCCAAACAGCACTTTGGGGCTGGCTCCTCCTCCCCTCTCTCTACTCTCTACATTTCGTTCTCCTCTTTACTTTTCTTTCTTTCAAATTCATCTGAACGCAGCCAAGCGCCGTGTCCACTGTTTTAACGATGATTTTTGTTTGTTCCTATGAAACACGCTAGGAAACACCCTGCATAAAGTAGGAAACGGGGAAAACCGAGATCCTTGCCACTCGCATTCGCAGAAATTTAAATTCTTTTACACAGGTACGCACATATTGTTTGACGCGATCTTTCGTTTTGCTTTTTATGTGCATATATGTATATAAATACATACATATATATGTGTGTGTGTATATATATATGCAGTCTAAGAAGTCAAGTTTTCGACGTAATATTCACACTGACTCTGCTTACAGGGGAGTCGACGTATTTGTGACTTTGAAACTGTAGGCCGAACCAATGGAGACTGAGCTCAGAGCTAAAACTCTACTCTTGAAAACGGCTCCACATTCTACTGCAACCCATCGTTTGTTCACGAACGAATCGATCAGTCGTAATCAACAAGTTCCGCCTGTGCCTGCCAGTCCATCGCTACACACTCACACATATCCGTATTCTGTTTAATTTATGGTAGAACTTCAGAAAGTTTGTGTTTTTTTTCTTCTCAGTCACTCTGTCTCTCTCTCTCTCTCTCTCTCTCTCTCTCTCTCTTTCTCTTAATAATCATTTTTATTCTTTGTAAGATAGTTCTCGTCGTTTTACACGATACTTTTTGGACAATGTGATTCCTTTAAGGAATCGCTTTACGGAAGACTGTGAAAAGAAAACAAAAAAAAAAAAGAGAAAAAAATGATGAAGATTCTTAATTGCGGGTAACTAACGTCCAATGATTTACGCTTTTGACGACCGATTTTAATTTTTAGATACTCGTTTCTCGCAAACTTTTGTCATTCGATATTTTATTACCGACGCGTTCGGCTTAGTACCCACCCGCAAAGAGTTGCGAAGGATGTACGGAACCTGTAACTGCATCCGTATGCAGTCGGGAGTGCGGCTTGCCCCTTGAGCCCGATATTATTCAACCTTGTGATCGACTCGCTGGTTCGTGGAACCGTGGACTCGAGAACGAGATATGAGATATCGGTAGGGAGGATGACGAGACATAGCGCTGGTCACCGCAGATCCCGATGGCATGCGAAGCGGATAGTACAGCAAGGTCGCTGGGACTCTCCTCAACCCTCGGTGGTCGCTAGTGCACGACCATGCACTTGGGGAAGGGGCGAGGAGAGACGTTCCCGACGACCTTTGAACTAGCGGGCCAAGTAGCTGCCCGTCCTGGAGCAAGAAGACTCCGCCTCGGGCGTACGTATCGACCAGACTCCCCGTACCGCACCATCCATTAGACCTGCTCGGCCTAATTAAGTTAGGAAGAAACGTATTTTATGCTGGCGTTGATCGCACAGTTTGTCGTTTGGTACTTTTATTTATAATCGACGATCGACGGTTTTTTAAAGGCAACGAATTTGTTACATTCTTTTTCTTCGCTTTCGCGAGTGTTTTTTTTCCTTTTTTTTTTTTTCTCTCTCTCAAGATACAAAGTATTTTCATATCGTTATGAAGATCGTTGAAAAAAAGGAGAGTGATTTGGAAACGATCGGTTTTCGAGAAATCAGCTTCTATTTAACCCGCCGTCGAGTATTTTATGTTATTTTTTTATTACTGTCGAAATAATGTTCGATTCTTTGGTTTATTGTACTCGCCGGGTATAATAATCGTATACACAGGCGTGGAAGTTACGCGTGTCATTGTGCAACGACGAGTTTTCGCAAAACTTTTGGCGATGCATCAGCGACTCGGAGATCAAAGGATCAGCTGTTCTGTGTCTTACGGCTGAAAGATTTCAAGATGCAAGCAATGATACGCGAATGATTTATCGAGCATGTATTATTTTATTATACCGGATCGGAAGCTTTACTGGGGCCAAGAAATATGTTCGTAAGTTTCCGCGGATCGTATAAAAAAAAGTTGTAAATGTAGTTATATAACGTATAGTAAGTCGTATTTATAGAAATTCTCAATATTCTCAAAACACAAAGTACAAAGTAACTCGACCGGATCTCAAAACGTTTCGAAGTAACCGCGTTTGCTTTTTAAGAATGCGTATGACTTAAGATGCTAAGATTTGTATAATCGTTGTTGTTAAGCAATAGGCGGAGAAAGTTTAGAAGCGTTCGGCGAATTTGCGCCGTTGTTCCGTTTCTTGTCAGACTTTTCTAATGTACATGTATATCCATAGTGAGAAAGACGATCGAACGATCAATGTATTGTTAAGCGACCGCGACGCGCGCGTAAGTAAACCGTGAAACATTCATATTCTCGACAGATTATATCGATCCGATACTGAACTTTATTATGAACAACGTTGTATGTTGACTGCGTTGGAAAATATATTTCAAATACTATGTGAATAGATTCACAAGTAATTACACGTAACGCGGCGTATGTTAAGACAGAGATGTTAAATTCAGGACGCGAGATGAATATCCTAGTTTAGTTTATGCTGTTCGCGCGTCAACTAATTTTTCTGTGTGATTGTATTTACATATAATCAGGGAGGATTGGAATATTCAATAGCGCGATGTATTCGAAACAAATTATATCACAATATGTAAAAACAAATATCGTACAATACAAAGGTACAAGTTTTCTTCATGTGACACCGAGTTTCTTAGTGAAAGATGCCTGTTGGTCTGCCAACGCACGTGGTGTATTTGATTGTTACAGTACGTGAAGAGAGGGCTTGAAACGATCGTCGAGCCGGACCCGTTTTACCTTCCTCTGCCACGTCCTCGACTGAAACCGCCTCTACCACGACCAGCGACTTTCCCCTTTGGTGGTGGAGATTTTGGCCTGAGAGCTTCGATACGTTCAGTGCAACCAGTGGTGATTTGACCGTTAGCGAAGTAACTAGTGTAGAGATCTGCGTTGAAATTCGTGTTGGTTAGCTCAGGGCCAACGGTGAGCCATCCTGGTCGAATGGTACTATCTCGACCGAACAAATGCAATCTATGTAAAATGCGAAAGATATCGTTGATTAGCTGAGAGAATTAGTGGCGCCGATTTTTCGCCAAACATTGATGTATTTATATATATATATATATATTCTCTTTACCGTCGTCTGCCAAGACAAAAATGTTCGATTATATGAAAAATCTCGACTGGCTTCTCTATAGAACCATATTCCGGTTCCTCCGAAATAATCAGGTCGATGTCGACGTTCGCGTGAATGAAATCTCCATCCGTGGATCGCCTGACAGTGCCCTTGATACCCATCAGACAATGCTCTTTAGTCCTCTGAAGAACCGCCTTGCTATCCAGGTTTTTACTGTGCCCCGGATTATTGATATTGGTGCGAATCCAGCATATATCCTCGCATCGTCTGAAGCCCCATTTCCGAAGGCAAAAACGTCCCATGTCGAGCCCATCGCTGCTACCACACCAGAGAAACACGAAGCTTCGATTGGCCGCCACTTCGCCGATGTCCAATTCCATTATCTGCAAGATACATGCGTTGCAATGCCATGCCATGATACAATAATAACATTTGTAAAGCGAAAGTTACACGTTATGCAAAACGTTGTGCAATCTCTGTTCACCTGGTCCCAGTTCCAAAGTTGCACGTTCGTGGCACCGCAGGTTCGTTGATACTCCTCTAGAGGAGGCTCAATCAAAATCACGTCAAATTTGCAGTTGAGTTCCTTCAAATTGTACGTGAGCAAATCTGTTTTTAGGTACATGGGCGGTGTCGCGGTTTCGGCGATCAAGTCATCCTTCAGCTTGATCAGCTCACGCAGTTTCGGATATTCTTCGAATCTGTCGGCCAAACCCACGTCTCGAATGAAGTTTTGGGGCCGTTGGCCCGTGTCGATGAAATGTTGACAGTAGTCATTGTGCGGATTCGACGACTGAGTGCCCTTGAAAAAAAGAAAAGTAGGCCCGTTGGTAAAGAGGAGTGTTGCTTGGTTACGGACAACGCAGACATTCGCATACCTTTAAAAATGTGGACGAATCCTTGTAAACGATCTCGTCGGTCGGCGCTGTTTCGCCCTTTGAATCTTTCACACCGTTCTCCGACTTCTCCGTCACGGACTTCAACTTTTTCTTCTGCGTGTCGTCGACGTCCGTTCCAAGAATCTGCCGCAACTCGTCTACGCTCGAGACGCCCAACTGCGCGAAAGAAGCGAATTCGCATCGTTTGTGAACATAACCTCAACGACCAAGTTCGAATCATTCTCACCGTTTGAGCAAGCAGCTTCTTGCGTTTCTGCGAACGTTCGCGCAACGTTTGAAGCATCTTTCACTAAATCCTTCGAAACTATCCACGAAACAACGAAAATCTATCGTATGTTTGCAGTTTTTACCATTCCGTTCATCCTCCCGGTCTGACGAACAACCGTTCAGAATAATCGAGAGATTTCCGTTATCTCCGTGTTTGTTTCAAAATTCAACGAATTTAAAAGGAAATTCGCGAATGTTTGACGATACCGTGACACACGATCGCGTGACAAAATATTGCAAATGGTCTGAAAACAAAATACACACGTCCGCCATCTTGTGGAAGCGGAGCGAATTCTCGGTCACGTGTCACGTCGTCACGTGACGCATGATGGCGCGCAAACGATGGACGACCCCTCGCGGGAAATGGCGCAACGAACAGTGTTCGAAATTACCTCCGTGCACGGAAACGAATGACACTTTTGTTTTCTCGAAGGAAACACGCTTGCGGCGATGCAACGTCAAATTAATAACCGATGAACTTTTGTATCGTGTTTCTCTTGATGTGGGAGCGTTATCAGCGATTTCAGCGAGGGCTGTAAACACGGTGCGTATAAACGGCAAGTAAAGCATGAACGATCGTCGCGGCGTGTCATTGGAAAGAGAAAGATGTCGCTCTGAACGAGAGGTTTTTCGATGGGTCATTTAGGAAAATGTCGGGAAAACTAGGAAATTAGATGGAAAGTAGGAGTGAAGGCCAGAACGATCGAAAGCAAAAGTTAAACAAGGATAACGAAAAGCATGTGCCTTGAAAGTAGAAAGGTTCGGAAGAACGGAACAAGGAAGACAAGGAGCGGCGATGGACGCAGTGGCGGGAACGGGCACGGATACGAAAGGACAACTTCGTCAATTAGGTTTAAAATAGGCGACACACAGGTGTCAACAGCTGACAAAAATCGCTGTGCGATTTGAAGCATTTTAATAAAATTAATAAAATATAAAATCTTCAACAGGCGAAAGTAAGAGTCTCTCAAAAGATGGGACAAGGTTGACCGTGGCGAAAAAGAACTTGAACCTTTCTTGAAGAAAGAGAGAGAGAGAGAGAGAGAGAAGACAATTAGTCGACCGTGTAGGCCTGCAATTGGCCTTTGAACAAGTCGTAGGGTCTGTACATTGTAGGACTTAAGGTAAGTACAATTTATTTCAGTTCATGTGACCGACTAATTTCGAAGGCTTAACAAGAAGAAAGAACAAAGAGGCTGGTCGATCGGTGAAAACTCAAACTCAAACTTCGTCGAGCAAATGGAAAATCATTCCGATGGGTATTCCTCGGGACAAATTTGAACAATAGATGAAGAATCGGCATTGCTCGGTAGGGATCGGAATTAACCGGTGAGAGACACGGAACCCTAGTTGACACAGTCCATCGCGGCGGTGTCAAGGTAACGGTCGTAAGAAGCACGTGGTGAGAGACTCTGTCGTCGCGTCGCTTCCTCGTTGTTCACCTCGTCGTCGCGGTCGTGTTTCCGTTGTCTTGCGTTCTTCGAGCGTCGTTCAACATCTGTTGAGGATTTTCACTGCGATCCCGGCGTAAAAAAAGGTGCATCGATCAATCCGAGGTTCGTATGCGAGATAGTTTATTTACTCTATATTTAGACAGCAAGCAGACGATTATTTGCCACCATTAATGTTAATTTGTTCATTTAAATGGCCAGGTTTGGTAAACATTCGAATCACAATGCGAACTTGCCCTTGGATGAAATTGAAATGTAGCAGTGATCTGCGATCGATCCTACCGTTGTTTCCTAATCAATTTAGTTTGATCCAGTTCACGACGATCTCTCTTTCTCTCTCTCAGCTTGTTGTTACGCAATCGTGTCACGGTGTCACGATCAAAAGTAAAACAGTGCGAATCGGCGAGCCCGCGCCGAGGAGGTTACGCGAAGGATAAGAGGTGAAAGTCGAAGGAAGTAAATGTCTGTTGACGTTGAAGCAAAATGTCAGGTTGACGAAGGTTGAAGAAGGACGGATGAAGAGAGTCTGACGGGGCAGAGAGACAGACAACAGAGGGTGAATGGACCGATGGCGGGCAAATTCGGTCGGAAGTTTGGACGGTGCCTGTTTGCTCGAGCACAGTTTCGGGTATCGGACGTGGTTGGATTTCGAGTATCGGTTGCATTGTTTTCGTCGGGATAATCGACGTGGTATGAGTCACGTACAGGTACACGCGACGTGTCGCGCGTTGGCGAAAACAATTTTTTGCCACCGTTCGTTGGCATAGATGTTGGTGCGAGAAGGGAAAGGTAGATGACAGAGGTGGTGTCGCAGACCGCGTCGGCGGTGTGAGGAGAGGGGGGAGGGGCGAGGGAAAGAGGGGTTTCTGATGAAAAACCACGTGTCGAGTGAATATCGTCGAGCCCGGGCTTTTGCCGATTCCGATTGGTCGGTTCCTGGGAGCCTCTTCCACGAAATTCAACTCGAATTCCAAGAAATCGGCCGGTGGCGCTACGCTCACCGGTATCCCTTCGGCTATTTACGCGAACGGTGCCGGGAACAAGCATACCATAGTCGTCGGCCCTGGACAGTGGCGGTAGCGTACAACCCACGCAAACCGAACGGAACACGGAACACGGAACACGGGAAAGGAGAAAGGAGAAAGGAGAAAGGAGAAAGGAAAAAGGAAAAAGGAAAAAGGAAAAAGGAAGACGACGCGCCGATCCGAACCCTGGCTCCAGAGAAGAAAATAGCGAAAACGGTTAGCGAAAAAGGGAAGCAGCGGAAGGAGTAAATACGGAAAGAGAGAGAATGAGGGGACTACCGGCATGGCGTGCCGGCGTGAGAGGTTCCGCGCGATCGAGATCACTGCTCTCCCCAATATCGTCCGCGTCGTTTCGTACGCCACGGCACGCTTGTCGAACCCGCCGAATGTCGATCGCCACCGACATTCCGGCCGAAGAAATGGCCCTGTACCCGCGATACGTCGCGATACGCTTCGAATTTTCCCGTTTTACCCTTGTTTTCGACTTATCCTTTATCCTCGACCCGCGCCGAGTTACGTCCGGCCCGGAAACCAACCTAACAAACAAATCGTATTTCAAACATCTCGTCGTTTGTCTCCGCAGGAAGTACCGATAGAGTTGTTGTCGGAGGTGAAGAGTGGTTGTCGGAGAAGTTTTGATGGGCAAGATGAGACCCGACGAGGTGATACAAAACGAGAAAAAAGCGACGGAGACGATGTCCGAGACGTCGGAGGGCACGATGACGACCAGCATCTCCGGTAAATCGGGCATCGAGAACCGCGAGGAGCTGTGCGACATTGCGGCTGTACTTGGCATTGGCAATCTTGACGATCTGCATCAGGAGAGATTTCGCGTTGATCGCCGAAAGTTGGAGCAAATGCTACTAGGTGAGTGACAAAGGTCATTCAACTTTTGACCTCTCTTTCACCCTCTATTTCTCTCTCTGCTTTCCTTTCTTTCTTTCTTTCTTTCTTTCTTTCTTTCTTTCTTTCTTTCTTTCTTTCTTTCTTTCTTTCTTTCTTTCTTTCTTTCTACTTCTTCCTCGTCAAACATACGAGCACATACTTTCGATCCTCGGAACTTACATATCGCGCTACCATTTAAACAGATTATCTGTTTGTAAACGGAATTAGGAGGCCTGCCTTGCCAAATAGTAATTGGTCGCGATTAGAAGTGCCGGGATCGTAACGTTTATTTTGATCGAGACACTCCATGATATGTAGATATTTACGGCTCTGGCTGTAAATTGAGGGAATCACGTAAATACGAGCGATAAGTTTATCCGTTTGGCAGGGCGAATCGGATCGAGTCGGTTGTCACAATCGAAATTCGTCTCGTCGCCGATTTCGGCCTTAATCGACATCACGCTCCTCCGAGGATTTCCGCGACCTTTCGCGCGTGATCCATCCTCGAAGATGGAACGTATCGACAAGAAAAAAAAAACAGAGAGAGAGAGAAAAAACGGACGAGAGTTCGTTGTACCCTGATCATACAATTTTCTTTGTTTACAGGTGATAGCGACGCCCCCAAGCTAGCGGACACGTTTTTTCGTAACGTAAGTTGCCTTTCGTCCTTCGCACCGATATATTCCGATTCGTTGATCCGCCAGTGAAATTCGCTCTCCGCGCGCAACATTTTTCCCACAAATTCTCATCCTACGCGTGCAGGTTTACTCTTTAATTCTCGCTTTCTTTTTCGCTGCTGTTTGTTAACAAGTTTGAACGCGATATCAATTATCGCTGACGCGTTTAGAAGACACTTTTTCGTTCATCGTGCGGCATCAGCTATCCGTGGCCTGTGTGTCACGGGACGAACGCGTAAAAATAAATACAGCACGTAACGCGTGAATCGTATCGAGTGAAACTCGATTGTGACGAAACTACGCATATTAATTCGTTTTTACTTTTTTTCTTTTCTTTTTAATCCAAAGCGTGATCCGCGTGGACGGAAGGTCAGCGCGAGACAAATATTTAATGTTATTGCAGACAAATATTTCGTTCGGTAAAGTCGAGTTTTAGCGATAGTTGATATGGCGAGCGACGCGGAGAACGAAAGAAAGAACACTGGCGCGAAACGCTACTCATTTTGCGAATCGCGTTCGCTAATCGTACACGTGCTACGACCTTGCAATTATACGAAACCGAACCGAACTATTTCTGTAGTCCGTTTCCTTTGACAATGTTGCTAGAACGGCAGATAATTTGTCATTCTTTCGAATGTCAGAAACTATTCTATCGAATCACCGTTTCTCGAACGTTTCCTTTTCGTCTCGTTCCTTCGCGCTCTCTTCAATTCACCTTCTGTTGCGGAGCGCAAAAGTTTGCATCCGGAAAGCACATACATACTTAGGGGACGCGTGACGCGTTGACTCTCTTTTTTTTTCGGAAAATCAGATAGATGGTCGCGAGATTAACAGATAATACACCTGTTTGCGCAAACAGTCGGAACGGCGATAAGCGGAGCACGTAGAGCACGAGCGCAAGAGGAAGGCGAAACGTTTGCCAATGCGTTCGAAGGCAACGCTCGCGCTTATCCTTATCGTTGACACGTTGCGTAAAAGGGGCCCTGGAAATACACCACTCGATTATTTATAGAGCGGCACTACTCGATCTTGTTCCTCTGACGCTCTACAACGAAACATTTTCTTTTCTTTTTCTTTTCTTTTTTTTTTTTGGCGTCGTTACTGAATTATCTCTTCTCTTTCTTAGCTCGAGTCTCTTAGCTGAAAGAGAGAAAAGTAAACTACGCTTGAATCAGGAAACGTCGATCTGTAATTATTAACTAATTATAGTTAACGCGTTCTCGCTTCATCGAGACGATGAACGTTCATTAAACGTTCTGTATCTATAATCGTATGAAAATTTCTGGAGGAACGTAGCGACTAAAAATTCGTTTCAACGAGCGTTTAGATAAACGAATGTGTATATGTTCAAGAACAATCCCAATTATCCAAACTACCTGAACTTCGACTGAGCAGCCAGGTAGACAGGCGGTATTGTCTCTTTCGTAGATACGAAAAGCAAAGAAACGCGTCATACATCGAAAGTTCAAACGAATGACACTTAAAATCGAATTTCGGCGAGTCCTTTTTGTTCAGCCGATTGAAACTGTCCGGGGTACAATATAAAAATATTTTTGTGTCTATAAGTCGGAGTTAAACCTATAGGTCTTGTGTCTATTAGAGGGTTTAACTACTTGCGCTGGTAATTGATTGCGGACCATAACGAGGGACCAAACCTTTTACAACAATTCGTCGCTTTTTTTTTGACCTCGTCGGTATGTCACTGGATAGAAATTCTTGAAAAGTAATAAGTTTATTGTTCGTTTTACCTGGATTATACTTAAGTATACTTAAGACTGTGAGAATATTGCAATTTTGGAACGTGCACGTCATTCCAACGCAAGAGGTTAAGTCTGTAGATCTTACGTCTATTAAAGGGTTTAACCAGTTGCGCTGGCAATTGATTGCGGACCATAATGAGTGACCAAACCGTACACAACAATTCGTCGCTTTCTTTTTGACCTCGTCGGTATGATATCACTGGATAGAAATTCTTGAAAAGTAATCAGTTTATTATTCGTTTTGCCTGGATTATACTCAAATATACTTAAGACTGAGACAATATTGCAATTTTGGGGCAAAAAGTTTTCAATGTGCACGTCATTCCAGCGCAAGAGATTAAGCCTGTAGATCTTACGTCTATTAGAGGTTTTAACCGCTTGCGCTGGCAACTGATTGCGGACCATAACGAGTGACCAAACCGTACACAACAATTCGTCGCTTTCTTTTTGACCTCGTCGGTATGATGTCACTGGATAGAAATTCTTGAAAAGTAATAAGTTTATTATTCGTTTTGCCTGGATTATACTTAATTATACTTAAGACTGAGAGAATATTGCAATTTTGGGGCAAAAAGTTTTCAACGTGCACGTCATTCCAGCGCAAGAGGTTAAGCCTGTAGATCTTACGTCTATTAGAGGGTTGCTCTTTGTCGATATAATTTCATGTTCATTAAACGTAGCGATTGAAAATTCGTTTCAATAAACGGGATTTAAACAAATGGAGTATGCATTGTTCAATAATAATCTCAATTATGGGTTCGAGTTTGTAGCCGTACCTGCAGTAGTTTTGATGGCCGAACGGCATTGTCTCTCGTAGATATATATAGAAGAAACAGAAAATGAGTCGTACATTTCAAATGTTTATGAATGATATTTAAAATCGAATTTATCGGCGATCCTTTCATTCAGTTGGTCGATATTGTCCGAATGGTACCGAGTCTGAACATTCACCTTTCCGCCTGCCGTGTAAGTCGAATTGCCATTCAAACTTCCGCGAGGAAAGATTCACGAATTCCATAGAGAACAATCGACCGTGAAACTATCCGGCTTCGATTTCCCATTCGCTCGTATCCGTTTGCCTTTGCACACTTGTTCGTAGTGGGATCCTTCTTTTTTAGCACCGCAGAGGTTAACAGAGGAGCTCGAGTTCAAGTCACGAAGTTCGGCAGGTGAGTCGTGTGAATGGATGGACTACCTGCTCCTCGCGTTCGCCGGCTCTTTAAATCGTCGCGCGGAGAAAGAGTCGGGCAGGGAGGAGAAGAGCAGAGTGGAAAACGAGATGTGCTTGGTGGTCGGCTGGTATTGCTCGGTTTCTGCCTGTGTCGTTTCTCTCTCGACGGGCGGAAGGAGCACGGGCCTCGATAGACGAAGAGAAACGAAGACCGCTAGAGTCGTGACGAGCGACGGCGAGTGGGAGGTGCTGGTGGTGGTTCACCGAGCCGTCCCGTTACATTATCTGCTGTTAGTCAGTCAGTCGTGCCAGTGATCCGGACGCGGTCGAAAATCGTGAGCCGCGACGTGGCCTCCGTTTCCTCCGAACGAGACAGCCGGTTCACCGCCGCGCCGTCTTTTCGCGCGAAAATTTTCCATCTACTTGACAATCGAGAGCCGAGTGCCACCTGCTTGCTGCCTAGTTGCCGAGCTACGTGATCCACCGGGTCGCTGTGTGCGTTGCGTGTCGTGTGCGGAAAGCGTGCGTGAATCGCGAGCTGTTGGCTCGATTAGCCGGCAGCCAATCCGAGGAACGAGCCGTGCCCCCCCCCCCCTCCCCTCCCCCGATCGAGCCTACGCTCGCCGCACGAGATTGATAACGATAGAGGGTTTCCGACAGGGGGAAACGCTTCGCACGGATTTCGGGAGAATTTTCGCGGAAAGGAGGGGTAGGAGGGGGGAGGGGGAGGGTGGTAGGGGAGGAGGTCACGAAGCGAAAGTCATCGATCACATCATCGATGGTCGCCGGCGCCGGTTGGATCCGTTGGATCGTGGCGTGTGTCGGATAGTCGCGATGAAGTGAACGGATAACGCGGCGCGGTGGAACGTTCCGCGGTTCTCTCTCGACAGTCGTGGCAGTGAAAGTACGTCACCCGGAGCTGTCTCTGTTCGTTCGAGATTCTTTCTCTGTCGCGGTCCCGATAGAGAAGCCTCGAGGGTTTCCCGTCGGCCGCCAACGAGAAACGTAGCTAACAACTCCGGTCATGTCTCTCGGAGTCTTCTGAAGTTTCGAAGACAGAGAGGAATATAAAGGTGAACAGCGAACAGTGACCACGACGGGACAGTGCGAGAGAGAGAGAGAGAGAGAGAGAATCGTCTTTGCGTTCTGTGTACCTCTCTTTATTTTCGTCGCTGATTCATCGACGTTTCATCGACGATTCGATCGACTTGCCGGAGGATCGATACCGATCGAGATATCAATCACCACTGAACAACGATGACCGTGGTAAACGTTGTTCGACTGTCGTCACGTTCGTTGAAGCGTAATCGCGAAGTTTAGCCGCCCTTAGCAAATTAACCGTGATTAAACGAAACTTCTCGATGTGTATTGCAGATCATGGAGGAGACGAACACCTTCGTTACGTGGCCGTCCCGTCTGAAGATCGGAGCAAAGTCGAAGAAAGGTAAGTAACGCGCGCCTGCGCGATCACGCGCAGGTCGTTCGAACTGTTCCGCGATGTTGCTGCTGATCTCGATCACCGGAAGTAGTGCGTGCAGACATGAGACGCGCGAGGCTTGGATTCTAAATTCAAGAGATAATATCTTGATTCGATTCGATGTGGAAATGTCGCGAGTGTCGGACAAACGGACCCGGAAACGAAATGACGGTAGGCGAAATGACGCGACGCGTTTCGCGACGTGACACGATCTGAGTAAGTAGGTTCGACGACACCGTCGGCCTTGGATGGTCGCCGGCGATCCGACCAATCGTTTCCTGGATCGTCGCGCGGCTCCCCGTTTTATTCGGGTCGGTCGCGCGTTCAATGTTTATCGCTTACCGAGCGGACATTGTTACATATATGTGTAACACGACGCGCGATTACGTACGTACGTAGTCGCATTTGCCTTGGGCTCGACTCACGTATCGTGTGTTTTCTTACGTCTATTTGCAGCTCGCGTCTACGCGCTTCATTCTCGCTTCGCTTCGTTCCCTCCGTGCCGCGTATAGAAAGAGAGAGAGAGAGAGAGAGAGAGAGAGAGAGAGACACACACACGTTCTTTTCCACGTCTCTTTTCCTTCGACGTGGAAAATTCGAAAGGGAAACTCGCGTAGCTTTCTGGAAAATGGTCAACTAGAAATTGGGCAGCTCGTTGCCGGCGCGACTGTCGTGATTATCGGAACGCGCCTATTAATCGAAAGTGATTACGAAACGGAGTCGCGAGTGCTCGCTCTCGAGTGCAGCAGCGCGTGTCGACGAGGTAAAAAGACGAGGTTTCCTAGAGCGGATTCGTATCGGTCGCCTCCGACGAAAATTCCTCCGGGCCGAACGGAAACGTATCACGGTGTGTTTCTCTCCGTCCGCTTTTTTCTTTTCTCTTTTTTTTTTTTCTCTCTTCTTCACCGCCGTGGAAACTTTTCAATGATTCATCCCTTCCTCCGTGACCCGAACAGCTGTTCGTTGCCCATTCTCCTCCGGAGGTCGTCTCACCATGGCCTGAACGCATAATTCGATGTAAATAATCTGTCTAGACCCTTACCCATCTTATCTCCGATTTTCGGGGATAAATTTTCCTAGCCTTCTCCTTGGAAAACAATTTTGTCGTTGCGGTAGGGTTTCGAACGATTTTTGGACCGATTGCGGACCATAACGAGCGACCAAACTGTACACAACAGTTCGTCGCTTTGTTTTTGAAACTCGTCGGCATACGACATCGTCGGATAGAAATTGTTGCGAGAATTTATTAATAACAATATTAGAATTTATTAATAATAAATTTATTATACTTGAAACTGAGGGAACATTGCAATTTCGGGACAAACAGTCCTGTCGTCGTGGCGTAAATTATTCAGCTTTTCTGCCTTCGGCCTCGAAGTCGTCTGTTTTCCAAGTCCATTCGTTCGAATTCACCGGCCGAACGGCCACAGACTTCTCAACGCGGAGATAATAGCGACGCTCAAGGATGGCGCGTTTACTTTACTTTCGAGTCTCTTGGTAAAGGTCGGCGCGTGAGCTTGTGCCCCGCATCCGCATCCGCGTTCCCACTTCCTACGACGTCGTGCATACGCCCTGCGCCTTTGAATTTTTCCATTGATAAGCGCACGCACGCAACGAAACCTTGACGAAATGTCCGTTCGCGAACAACAAGAGAGAGAATGTTTTTCATCCTCTTTCTGGCAGTTCGATTCAGACCCGGCGATAATCGCGTGTATCGTTGATAACGAGTGGCCGAGCGTGCTCCGGAGTATACTCGGCGAGTAAACTGACAAGAGATAGATTTAATCCTTTTGCACTCGGCTGAGGACATCGTACTTGAATCTAGCCGACAGATTGAACTTCCTCTTTTGTGTAATTTGTTGATAATTTGTTGATAATTATCAACGAACGTGTTGACGCTTAAAGCGAAAGTCAGAGTAATGACGTAAGAGGGAGAACAAAAAGAAATTTCAGAAAGGAGAAATTTCTGAAGACAATCTTGAATGAGTCAGTAATTTACATAGACTTCTTATTGTTTCTTACGAAAGTTTGGAAAAATGATAAACGAAGGGTATTGCTTTTCCAAAGATTGTAACTGTCATCAGATTTGTTTTAGCAAACCCGCAATGCACGTTGATGATTGCTTTAAATTATAATTGTAAAGTTGGAAATACATATCGGAAAGATATAATCAGGAAAAATTTCGTGTTAAATACCATTTGAATGATTATTTCCAATGATATGTCGTTTTGTTTGAAGCTCACGAAGATGCTTCGTAAATAAATTGCTGATAGGTGAAACAAAAGAGGTTTGTCGAGGGCAGAGGGTTCATTTCAAGCTGTTTGACCGGTAAAAGTCGGGAAGCTCGGGTTCGCACGATGGAAAATTATCGTAGGAAAAAGTATGTCGAGATATCTTGAACTTCTACGAATCGCTTCAATCGCTGGTAACGCGTCGAGCCATTTTAAATCTCCAACTGTTTAACTTCCTCAGGGACGAATCTTTCATTTCAGTTCAACTTACGACAGAGAAATTTAATTTAATTGTAACATTTATTTTATAATAACATTATATTAATTACAATATTTATTTTATAACAACATTTTATTCTCTACTTGCGTCGTGACAATTGGCACGTATTTCCCGGTTAACAAATTTAGAAAAGGTTGCACGTTTATTTTTCTAACGGTTTCGCGAATGGATTTTTTTTTATAGGACGTAAATTAATAACTGCTCGCGTAATTATGCGGCCAAGAGAATTCGTTGCTCCAGAATTGCAACATTTCCTCAGTTTCAAGTATATTCAAGTGTAAGGCAAAACGGATAATAAATTCATTACTTCCCAATAAATTTCTATTCAGTGATGTCGTACGATGCCGGCGAGTTCAAGAAGAAAGGCGACGAATTATATTATACGGTTTTGGTCGCTCGTTACGGTCCGCAAACAGTTGCCCGCGCGAGCGGTCAAAAAACCCGTTTATTACCAAGCAATAAAAATAGACGAAGTGAAAACTATTATGCCTACTTATGCACACGTTAATCAGAGTTAGTCAAAATAGAAAGTAATTCGATGAAGCTACGATACTGACTGTCGAGACACACGATCGCTTAAAATCGAAACCGATCGCGTTCGAGCATCGCGATCAAAACATCGTGCCATTATTCGACGCGAATCTGAACAGCGCGATCGCGATGTGTGACACTGAAAACGGCCAATCTTTGTCTCTTCGTCTGGCAAGTATTGCGATTCACGATTTTTCCACGAACAGAAACCGATCGCCGGTACGATTTATCGGCGCTGTTATGTCTGGTTACGTAACGCGCGCAAAATTATGCATCGAGCCCGGGAAATGGCCACGTATAATCGTTCGACACCTTGATGATCGATCGTTCGCCGCCGATCGTGGTTCACCGATTCGCGCGCGTTATCTCTCGCTGTTGGCTTTTGTCGTGCAGCGGCGGAGATTCGCGAAGGTCGTCAACGCGCGTTCTCTCCGCGATCTATTTCTGGGTCACCGTTTCGATTCGGCCCGAGTTTTCTTCTCTTAGCAACCGGCTTGGTCGTTATCCTCTCTGTTATCCCCGCTATTTTTGCGCCAACTCACCGGCGAGTATCGATTCCTCCTTTCTTTCATTCTCTTTTCATTTTTCTTTTTTGGAAAGCTTTGGTTCGCGCGTTGGAATCCGACCAGACGAGGAGGTGGCTCGCGGCGCGAGTAGCCGCTGGAATCATGCATCCTTACCATTATGGCGATCGGTTACGAAATAAATAATACTTGCTGCACGCGCTTCGATCCTCCTTTGCCTCCTTGTTCCTTTCTCTTTGTCTGCACTCAACGCTAGAACTGCCAGAAATGGTCGAAATGACCGTATTTGGATATATATATATATATATATATATATATATATATATATATATATATATATATATATATATATATATATATATATATATATATATATATATATATACGTTAGATACGAAACAGTGTATTCTTGGGGGCTTCGTATAAATACCTAAATAAAATCTTTGCGTGCTCTGTTGTATCATAAAGATCTTTCGTTTCTTTTACTTCAGATTTACTTAAGATCGTCTGTTTCATTTACTATTTAGCGATGACACTAGGACTACTAAAGTGACCAATTATATAATTATAACATTTCAGTTGTATATTAATCATGTAATTAAATGACCAATTATATAATTGTAACAATTTTGTTAGATATGATTTTATAGATACGAGACAGTGCATTTGTGAACCCTTGCGTACCCTATTCTATCATAAAAATCTTCCGTTTCTTTTACTCTAGTGTTAACACTAGAACTAGAAAATAACAAAATAAACAATTATATAATTTTTGTTAGATTATTTTGATATTACAATCGTGTGATTTTTGTTAATTGCTTTATAGACGTGATAAATAGTATCTTTAAAGGTTTAAATAATTTTTCGTAAGGTATATAGACAAAAGCTTGTACGCACCATTGTACCATAAAGTTTCTTTCATTTTTTTTTTTTTTCTCGTTCACTTCAACTTTCGTTCTCTCTGATGAAAATTTCGTGCTTTGGTCGTCGGTAGTTGTAGCGTCGTAGTTGTAGAAAGATTGAACCTTCGAGTTCGATTCGACTCGATCGTCGACGAACCGAATGTGTCTTCCTGCCCCAGTGGGACACGTCTTGTATCCAGGAAGAAAAGCGTATTCAAGGGGCGTGCGGCGTTCGGAGAATATTAAAAACCACTCCGACGATACGTGCTGCTCCGAAATGTACAGAGCTCAGCCGATCCCGATGATCGGGCTAGTGCTCGTCGAATTTCGATCACGAGAGGATTGACACGCAAATATTGTCGCGTAACATTACATAATTCGGCCTCTCTTTGCAGATCCGCACATAAAGGTCGCGGGGCGACCCGACGACGTACGAACTGCGAAGGAGAAGATAATGGAAATTCTGGACACGAGGGTAAGTCTCACATCTTTCCCACCTCTCTTTCTTCGCGAGAGAAGGAGTCCTCGGTCGAAACGATTCGCAGGTCGAGCCGATCGTCGAGGGTATCTCCGAGCGATAACAGCCGCTCGCGCGACTGGTGTTCACGGGCGATTTCGCTGCTTTTTACCGATACGTTACGTCACACCGAGACGCGAGAGCCGCGCGCGATTAGCACTGGTGACCTCGTCGATCGACATTTCGTCTCTCATTGTCAGCGATGTGTGAAATCGATCGCGCGTTCGCGTGTCGTGCCTAGAGAGAATGTTTGCCTACGTTTATCGCGGATAATTCATCGAAACGATAACGATAGTAAAAAAA